GGATCGAACCCAGGCCGCACACATGCCAGGCAAGCGCGCTACCACTTGAGCCACATCCCCAGCCCACATCATTCAATTTCTCTAAATAATAACCTCCTTTCTCTTGCCTGCTAGGATGAGAGAGGTGGGTGTCTAGTTGATTAAGCTAGGGAAGAGAATCTGTTGGTTTTCCTTCTCCTCATGTAAACTTTCAACCAGTCCTCATGTTTTTAGTCCCATCCCTCACCTCCACCTTATGAGGTGACTGGTACTTACAATTCCTGAGCCTTTCTAGGATTCTGGAATTAAATTGACTTTGCTTCTTCTTGTAATCTCCCCTTGCAAGTTTCCAAAAGTTGTCTAAAAATTGTAAAGAACTTAAGAACACAGGGTCTGTGTTCAAACTGCCATGATTTCAATCCTAGCTCTTCTACCTACTAGTTGTTTCAATATTTCTAAGTTACTTAACATCTGTGCTTTAATATCCTTATTTATAAATAGAAAAAGTAACAGTACCTACCTCTAAAAGTTGTTATAAAGGTTAAGCAGTACATTTAAAAAACACTTAAGGAGGTAAAAGATTCCACACTTAAAAATTACAGCCAGGTGCAGTGGCACATGCCTATAATCCCAACAAATTGAGAGGTGAAGCAAGAGGATTGCAAGTTCAAAGTCAGCCTCAGCAATTAGTGAGGCCCAAAAATTTTGTAAAACCCTGGCTCAAATTTTTAAAAGGGGCTGAAGATATGGCTCAAAGGTAAAGCATCCCTGGGTTGAAGAAGAATAAGGAGAAGGAGAAAGAAAAGAAAAACTACAAAATGTTGCTGAAAAAAATTAAGGAAGACGTAAATAAACAGAAAGATATCTCATGTTTATGGATTGGAAGACAATCCATAAATATTATTAAAATCCATAAATATTATTAAAATATTAAGATGTCAATATTACCCAAAGCAATCTACAGATTCAGTGCTAGTCTATCAAAATTCCAAAGACGTTATTTTTCAGAAATAGAAAAACTCATCCCAAATTCACTTTGAATCTAAAAGGACCCAAAAAGTCAAAGTAATCTTGAAAAAGAACAAAGTGGGAGGTGTCATACTACCTGAATTCAAAACTTAATATAAAATAGTGTGGTACAGCATAAATACAGATATAATATAGGCTAGAAGAACATAATGAGACTTAAATTTTTAACAAGGATGCCAAGATAAAGGGGAAGGAATTGTCTTTTCAACAAAAGATATTTAAAGAACTGGATATTAACATGTCAATGAACAAACATGGACCTTAACCTTATACCAAATACAAAGTTAATTCAAAATGGATCAAAAATATAAACATAACATCTAAAACTATAAAACTCTTAGAAGAAAACATGGAAGAAAAGCTTCCTGACATTTAATTTTGCAATGTTTTTTTTGGATACAACAAAAACATAAGCAACAAAAGTAAAAATAAATTAGACATTAAATTTGACAATGTCTGTGCATCAAAGGACACGGGCAACAGAGTGGAAAAGGAACTCATGGAATGAAAGTATTTGCAAATCATCTATCTGATAAGTGGTTAATATCTGAAAGAAAGAACTCCAACAATCCAACAATCAAAAAAAAAAAAAATCCCTGCCAGCTGCCTCAGCACAGGCCTGTAATACTGGCTGCTCATGAGGCTGAGGCAAAAGGATCCTGAGTTCAAAGCCAGTCTCAGCAATTTAGCAAGGCCCTAAGCAACTTAGTGATACCCTGTCTCAAAATAAAATAAAGAAAAGGCTGGGGATTTGGCTCAGAGATTAAGTACCCCTGGGTTGGCAAACACACACACACACACACACACACACACACACACACACACACAAAAAGCCCTGAGTTTTCTAAATGGACAAAGGATTTGAATATTTATCCAAAGATGATATACACATCTTGAAAAGATGCTCTGAACAGAAAAGACAAAGCAAAAGCAAAAGATTTGAAATATAAGCCCTTTGAATATATGATTTTTCACTGACTTATCTTCAAGGAATGCAAGATACTGAATCATTTCTACAGAAATTGTTAAATAACATAATAATCCTATAAGTAAATTTAAATAGTCTAGCAATGCCTGACACACATTTAGCTCAAAGTAAATGTTTTTTAAATTGTGTCAAAATCAGATATGAAAGGATACATATTTGTTGTCAAGGCCACAGTCCTGAAAACTGAACGCAACGCGTACAACTCCTAAAAGTGCTTACTTGATTTTCAGCAGCAGGATGGGCTTATGACTTACCTTCAGTAAGATACAAATAGCACAAGCCATGCCTACAGAACCAGATCCAATAATGGTGATCTTCCTTTGGGAGACTGCATCTTCTGCAACTAGATTTTCAATAAGCTGCTCCTTGACAGTTGACATTTCGAGAACCTAACAGAGAGAATGCAATTTCGTGGAATCAAACTCCCTAAATCCACCCCTTTCACAGTTACGATATCTAAGGAACTACCTTTTGAGTACGCAGAATGGAAGACACAGAGGTGGAAAGAAACCCAAGAAAAAAAAATCCTGGTCAAAGAGTGTGGGGTAAAGCAAGGAACACTCAATAAATAATCAGTGGTAGGGAACGGGGCACCAACACGATTTCTAAACCCTCCTCGTTCCCAGCCACTATTTTCACTCAGCATCAGACGCTCACAAACGCTCTTCTTGGCTCAATTCAGTACATACGACCCCCAAAGCACAACGCGCCACCTTTAAGAAAGTAAAACGTGACCCCAGAAAAATACACCAACGACTGTTGAGGTGCGAAGCCCAGCAACCGTTACAGTTGGCCGCCTCGCGCGGCCCTTAACGTCAGCACGCAAGCCCCGCCCCCGGCCGGCCCAAGCGCAGGCGCATCGGCAAGGGGTGGGCGTCCTCGGCGTGGGAAACGTCTCCCAACTATTACCAGGTAACTGAGCTACAGCTGATGGCAGCCAGACTATTGAAGATGGGCAGCCAGCTGGGGAATTGCCTCGGCCGCGGAGCTCATGGCCTAAACCAGCCTAATTTACTGTTTTCTGAGATGAGAGGACATGCTGAACGAATCTGGGCCCCTGGGATGAAAGGAATTTAAAGTTGGACTTGGGAATTACCATCCCGAAGTTTGAGAAACATATTTTTTGATGGTGCACTCGTCACACCCTTATCCAAGCATTTACTTGCAGTCACTTTATGACATATTGACCTCTGTAGCTTTAGGACCACGTGCTGAAATAAAGTTTGGATTTCTCTTGAGAGAACAGAGAACATTAATGACATGAAAAGGCCATGTCTAGTTTTCTAAGGGTGCTTTCTAAGGGTTCAACACCAACAATTTATAACTCACAGAAGGGGACACAATTCCTCCATCATTTTTTTGTCTAGTATTTGCATATGAACCTGTCAATATATAATGATAATCTATTTTCCATGTAATGATCTGTGGGCTGTGTGTGTAATGTAGTGCAGAACATGCAATAACTCTGCTTAAAACACGTCCTTGGCTTTCCATTATACTTAGAATAACCAAAAAGACCTTCAAGATTTGACCTCCTTCTACCCCTCCAACTTTAAAACACTCACCAAACTCTCTCCAATTAGACTTTGGACAACCTTTTTTTTTTTTTTTTTTTTGCGGGGGGGGGGGGGGGCTCAGAACATTTTAATGTTCTCTATATCTGGAAAGTTGTTTGCCCATCCTTTGAGGTTAATTCCTCATTTTCAGTTTTGGCACACTAAACTGCACTTCCAGCTTTCCTTGACAATTGTGTCAACTACCACAATTTCCAATTTTCTCCTGTTTCTCTTATGGTACTTTTCTCAACCTACTACAAGACCAAAATTAGAAGCTCCCCATAAGTAGCACACAAGAGTGGCATTGGCACATTGGTACCATAACTTGCTTGTGTGCTTCCCCAGCAACCTCAGGGCTGAGGAACACTGCTGATCTAGATGGCCTGCAAATTCAAGCTGTGGTCAGGCCTGGTGGCACAATGCCTGCAATCCCAACATAATAGTATGTTTCAGAACAGCCTGGGCAACTTAAACAGCTCCAACTAAAAATAAATAAATAAAATAAAAAATAAAAAAATTGCAAAATAGGCTAGAGATATAGCTCAGTGGTAGAGCACTTGTCTAGCATGCACAAGACTCTGGGTATCACAGACAAAAAAAATCAAGCTAGCTAGGCATGCTAGTGCATACCTGTAATCCCAGTAGCTCAGACAAGGAAGGTAGGAGAATCACAAGTTCAAGGCCAACCTCAGCAATTTAGTGAGATTGGGGATTATCTCAGTGGTTAATGCCCCTTGGTTCAATCCCCAGTACCTAAATAAATAAACAAGCTGTATACTTCCCTCCGTCTCCTGGTGGCCAAATGATATATCCTCTTGGTAATCGTGAAGAGAAGTGGCTTTTAATACCTCTCCAAGCTTACTTGACATTTTTATTGCAGTAATGTAAAAATAGTCAAGATTTTATTTTTACTTATTCTTGTATATTGCAACATCTATCATATTATATAGTAGGCACTCAGTAAAGAATCTTGAGAGGATCTATTTTTTTAATATTTAGTTGTAGATGAACACAACATCTTCATTTTTATTTATCTTTATGTGGTGCTGATAGAACCTAGGGCCTCATGCATGTGAGGCAAGCGCTCCACCATTGAGCTACAACCCTAGACTGGAATGTGGCTTTTGAGTCCTGATAGTTTAATTTTTATGGCTATAGAAGGAGAAAAAAAAATACGAGGACCATGTGCTGAGCATCTCATTTTCTTCTCCACTAAAACCCTGTGTGAGATGAGACTAAGACCTGCTTAATCCACTTCCTAAAGTTATGAAAAAAAAAAAAAAGGTCTCCTTTTAGAGTTGGCCTATTCCTTGCTGGGGTAAGAAGGTACTTGGTGAACCCAGAGCACTTATTGTTGCAGAAAATGATGAAACTTTACAAGATTAAATCTGAATTCATGAAAGATTGAGTTAAGTCTATTTCACTTATTTTTCAATCATGTTCATATTGTCTAATTTATTGTATCAAATATGATATTAAAATATGGACTTTTTAAAAATAAAACTGAGGGGCTGGGATTGTAGCCCAGTGGAAAAGTACTTGTCTAGCATGTGAGGTAATGAATTTGATTCTCAGAACCACATATAAATAAATGAATAAAATAAAGATCCATCAATATCTAAACAATTTTTTAAAAACTGAAGGGGCTGGGATGTGGCTCAAGTGGTAGTGCGCTCGCCTAGCATGCGTGCAGCCCGGGTTCGATCCTCAGCAGCACCACATACCAACAAAGATGTTGTGTCCGCCAAGAACTAAGAAAAAAATAAATAAATGTTAAAATTCTCTCTCTGTCCCCCTCTCTCACTTTCTCTTTAAAATAAATAAATAAATAAATAAAACTGAAGTTACCTCAAGGATCACAAAGCCCATGGAAATATTCTGGTTTCTTTTGGGGGTAATTAAATCCAAAGAATTGTACACGTTTTTTTTTAATATTTATTTATTTATTAGTTATTGGCGGACACATCTTTGATTGTATGTGGTGCTGGAGGATCGATTCCGGGCCGCACGCATGCCAGGCGAGCGCGCTACCGCTTTGAGCCACATCCCCAGCCCTGTACATGTTTTTAAATAATTTCTTTTAGTTGTCAGTGGACCTTCATTTTATTTAGATGTGGGCCTGAGAATCAAACCCAGTGCCTCACACATGCTAAGCAAGCACTCTACCACTGAGCCACAACCCCAGCCCAAGCGTTGTACATTTTAAGAGCAAATTTTGGGCAGGCAGGGTTGTAGCTCAGTGGCAGAGCACTTGTATAGCATGTGTGAGGCACTGGGTTTGATCCTCAGCACCACCTAAAAATCAATAAATAAAATAAAGGTAATTGTGTCTATCTACAACTAATAAAAATTTTTTAAAGTACATTTTATGGTATATAAATTTTACCTTAGCAAGGCTGCAATTAAAGTGTACAGGATAGCAAATCCAATTAAAATAGCACTGTCAAGACCAGCTTGACCAAGCTTGTCATTTTATATTTGAGAGAAAAAAAGCCATAATTTTCTTTTAACTAGCCCTGAAGAAGAAAACTTTGGGGAATAAAAGCCTGAGTCAGAAATGATGGCAATATTCAGGCCTGAATAAGGGTGATTTACAAAACTATTTTGAGGGAAAATTTAATAAAGACAGTTGAGTACAGAATCACCAAGACTACTTGATTTATACTTTTAACATAAATTCATATTAAACTCAAGTCTACTCAGTAGTAAATAGTACCCCATAAAATAAAATTATTGCAGGGTTGTCCATGAAGAGCCTATTACTTCTGAGTAATATAACAACAAAACAAATGGCACCTTTATGACTTTATATCTTAAATTGGTGAGGAGTGGTAGCATATGCCTATAATCCCAGCAACTTGGGAGACAGAGGCAGGAGGATCCAAAGTTCAAGACCAGCCTCGGCAACTCAGCAAAACCCTGTCTCAAAATAAAAATAAGGGCTAGGGATGTAGCTTAGTTGATACAGTGCTTGCCCCACATGCACAGGCCCTGGGTTCAATCCCCAGCACCACAAAAATAAATAAAAAGAATTTAATAGAATAGTCACTGTTCAAGGTTTATTTGATATTTCAGTTGGTATGACACTTGGATAGCTGGTTGCAATGTTCATATGTAGATCTTTCTTTTACATTATATGGAAATGTACACTACAGATACATATAATACACAAAATAAAATCCTTTAGAACAGTTATACATAAGACATGTGATATTGGATTTAACATTGGATCCCAGGATGTGACTGAATGAAAAAAAAAAAAAAAACAAAAACAAAGTTGGACTAGGCATGTTTGATGAAGGTATATCACACAACATGCACAATGTTGTGCAACATTGGCAGTGGTATCTCAGAGATGGTGGAACTATTTTACACTATTTTAGGACTACACAAGTTAAGTACTATCCAGCATCAGGATATCTGTAGGGTTTTATACGCCATTCCTATTTCTAACTTTAGAAAATTGATGTTTTTCCCAGGCCATCTGCTTTAATCTCAGAACAGATATAAAGGATAACATGTACACCTCCAACTAAAATCCTGTTGTATCCTAGACAGTGAAGTGGTATGACATTAGAAGCCTCTAAAACTGCAGCTCTTTTTGGATTCCCCAAAGTGTGTCTGCACTCTTCTTCAAACGTGCCTCTTCCTCAGGAGTCAAATTCACCTTCACAACATCTGAGATTCCATTTTGTCCCAAGATGCAAGGCACACTTAGAAAAACATCATCCTTTATTCCATAGAGACCCTGAAAACAAAAGAAAATAATTTACATTTTATCTATACAATCTGAGGTTTCCCAAGACTTACATTCTTTGCCATTATGAAGCTTATTTGACTTAATAAGCAGAAATTTATTTCCAGATGTTCATTTATATAATCAAGAGTGTAAAAGAAAACCACTAAAAACACCAACATATATATATTAAAAGAAAAACTATTAATATACACAGTACTTCCCAATATTTATTATGCAACATTGTGGTAAGTAATAGTGATTTCTACTTTTCCCAATGGCAAAATCTGTCTCCTATAGACTTCTATCTACTTAAACATAACAAGTTTTTCAGTCAAGTTATCAAGTATATATGTGTGGACATTTATCCTACATATCAATCATTTATTTCCAAAGTTCTGAGTGCATTAAGTTATTTCACTTCAGTGAACAGGACTTCCCTTAACCTAATTGCTTTCTCAGAAGAATCTTTTCTAAAAAACCAGGAAATAGGGCTGGGGATATAGCTCAGTGGTAGGGGGTTTTTCCTCACAACCACAACAGCAACAGAAACAAAAGCAAAACAGAAATAAGTATTCAAATACAACGTATCACTACATGGACCTACCTTAATCATGGTGGAAATTGGATGCACCCGTCTAAGATTCTTCATTATACTTTCTGCCAAATCTGCCACAGACAGTCCAATGGCCCAGGATGTATAGCCTTTTAGTTTGATCACCTCATAAGCGCTACAGAATAGGGAAGGGTAAGGAAGAATAGGGAAGGGCAGAAAAAAACAGGAGGAAGAAACAGATTTCACTGAACACATGCTTTATAGTAAATAATGCCAAAAAGTTGCATTATACTTCTAAGGGTAACCCTTGCATATACACCAGAACATCACTGAACAGGAATGTTCATGACAATACTATTAGGAATGGTAACAAGTACACTGCCCTCCAACAGAATGAATAAATTGTGGTATTCTGACACAAAGGAATATTACATAACTGTCATAACTAATCAATTATAGCTACCAACATAGTAGTAAACTGGTGATTATTAGAAATATTGAGCCAGGAATAGTGGCGTACATGTGTAATTCAAGCAACTCGGGAATTTTAGAGTTGGAAGTTCAAGGCCAGCCAACTTAGCAAGACCTTGTCGCAAAAAATAAAAAGGGCTGGGGTTGGATGTAGCTCAGAAGTAGTACCAATGGGGGTTGTGTGGGGTGAAGAAATGTAGTACAAAGAGTGGTGGTAGCAAAGAAAAAAAAAAAAGAAGTGTACTACTGGATTTTAAAAAGTAAATCCAGGGCTGAGGAATGGTGGCACATGCTTGTAATCCAGTGACTCAGGAAGTCGAGGCAGGAGGATAGCAAGTTGGAGGTCAATTTAGCAAGATTCTGTCTCAAAATAAAAAAAATGGGCTGAATATGTAGCTCAGTGATAACCCCTGGGTACATTCCCCATTGCTGGAAAAAATAAAAAATAAAAAAGAGAACACCCAGGGCAGCTGAGGAAGTAGCTCGGTGGTAAAATGTTTGCCTAGCATGCACAAAGACCAGGATTCAATTGCCAGCATTTCAAATGAAAACGGAAAATATAGAAAGATTAAAAGATTGCACACAGCATGTTGATTATAAGATTATTTCAACTGAGAGTGACAGGGAGATAGTTGAATAGGGAGTGGGGCAAAAATTCACTTCCAGTATTTTCAAACACCAGCAGACTAGTAATTCTGACCCAAGGAATATTATACCAGATGATAGCTAATGTTAAAGTCTCTTGGCTGGGTGGTAAGTTCACAGGTTTTATTTAACTAAACAATGAGAGAGTCTTGCTGGACCAATTATGAAAATATAAGGAGCTCTAGTAGCACAAACAGCACATAGTACTTGTATAAAAATATATCCTGAACCAAGGACTAATTGATAGACCTAAGGTCCACACATAACCACAGTTTACAAGTAAATAATGCCAAGTAGAAAACTTCCCTATTTCAACAATTTGTTAGTAAATACTTGTTAGTGTACCATGTTTCTAGCATTTCTAGACCTGGGCATATAACTTTATTATCATCTGAATAAAAAAGCTATCTGTTTCTGTGTGTGTGTGTGTGTGTGTGTGTTTTCCTGGAGATGGAACCCAGGGCCTTGCACATGCTAGGCAAATGCTCTACCTCTGAGCTGTATCCCCAGTTCTTTTTTCTATTTTATTTTGAGACAGGATCTTGCTAAATTGCCCAGACTACCCTCAATTTTGCCATTCTTCTGCCTCAGCCTCCTGATATATAGGTGTGTGCCACCACACCCAGATGCTAACTATGTTTATAATCTCAAAGAGTATAATAAGAACTTGGGCTGGATGTGGTGGCCCAGGCCTGTAATCCCAGCAGCTCAGGAGGCTGAGGCAGGAGGATAGCAAATTCAAAGCCAGCCCGTGAGTTCAATCCCTGGTACCAAAAAAAAAAAACTTGGATTTTTAAAGGTTTTTCTTGCCAGGTACAGTGGCACATTCCTGTAATCCCAGCTACTCAGGAGCTAAGGCAGGAGTATCACAAGTTTGAGGCCAGTCTAGGTGACTTGGAGAGACCTGATCTCAAAATAAAGAAGTCAGAAAGGTAGTGCACCCTTGTAATCCCAGGATTTAGGAGACTAAGTGAGGCAGAGGATCACAACATCAAAGCCAGCCTTAGTAAGGCCCTAAGCAATTTAGCAACACTCTGTATCAAAACAGCGGGTGGGAATATAGCTCAGTTGGTAGAGTGTTGCTTGCCTTGCATG